GAAACCAGACTATTACCTTGGAAAGCCCAGCTCTCTCCTTGGCAAGCTTCTGTTTCTTTCTTCCTACAAGAAATGTAATGTTATATTTACATTCTGTCATTATAAAAATGGGAATGAAAAGAATTCTAATTGCTGTGGTAGTCATTAATTCCATTTGCAAAACACTTCTAACTCTAGGAATCTATCCCTCCCTGTGATCTATCAAGGACATAAGAATAGTCTGGTCAATGAGCTGTAGGCAATGTGACACTGCACTGGAGCGTTCTCCTTCCCTTTGGTGCAGAAGATCTAGCAATTCACAAGACGGAGATAGCTCCAGCAGTTGGACTTCTAAAGTAATTACAATAAGCAGATCAAGTCCCCCCTTCCAACCAACACAGGACATGTAACAGGGGTAAGAATTACGCCACTAGTATTAGGGAGTTTTATTACTGAAATATGCCAGATTATATCTTTACGGAATATTGAAAACTGGCATTCTTAAATGAAAAAAAAAAAAAACCTAAAGTGTACTGGAGGCATATGGTGGTTATATGAAAATACTATACCACTTAAAGGTACTTGAGCATCCTCAGATTTTGGTATCCAGGGGAGGCCTGGAACCAATCACTCAAAGAAACTGAGGGAGGACTACCCCTAAATTGACAATCATTAAAAACTACCAATGACATAGAGTAACTACTGACATAGTTAAGAAAATGTAAGGCTCCAATACTTATTATTAGCTAATATTTATTAGCTGGGTGATTTTACGCAAATCTCTCACTCTCCCAAGATAAGGTCTGTCTAATCTTAGAAGACTACAATGAGAAACAAAAGCCACGAAACAAGCAAATGTCCTCTGAACACCTTAAAGCACTCTACAAATCCAAGCCTCAATGCATGACTAAAGAGGTCTGAGGGCCGGGCGCAGTGGCTTATACCTGTAATCCCAGCACTTTAGGAGGCTGAGCCAGGCAGATCACAAGGTCAGGAGTTTGAGACCAGCCTAGTCAACACAGTGAAACCCCATCTCTACTAAAAATACAAAAACTGGCCGGCTGTGGTGGCGGGTGCCTGTAGTCCCAGCTACTCGGGAGGTTGAGGCGGGAGAAGCACTTAAACCTGGGAGACGGAGGTTGCAGTGAGCCGAGATAGAGCCACTGCACTCCAGCCTGGGCAACAGAGCGAGACCCTGTCTCATAAAAGAGGTCTGCCTACCTGCAGACAGAAGGTTCATTTACTATGGTCAAGGTACCTTTCCTTTCTTTTTTTTTTCTTTTTTTTTCTTTTTGAGCCCGGGTGACAGAGCGAACTCTGTCTCAAACAAAAACAAAAAACAAAAAACCAGGAACTATTATCATCCCCATTTTTCAGATGAGAAAATGTATCAAGGTCGCAATTACTTAATGGTGGAATAGCAACTCAAACCCAGGCTTTTGAAACATGACTCTCTTCTGCCTCCATAGTTAATAGTGTGGAGAAGACATTATTACCATCAAAACAAAAGGCACCTCAGAAATGAATGTGCCAAGTTTGCGGGATCAATTGTATGAGACATACAATTTGCTAAACCAGAATTTAGGGAAAATGACAAAACTGATCCTGAAAGCCAGGAAAGTGAAACTTAGTCATAAGTTTTTTTAATAAGGTGGGGAGGAGTATGTGATTGCCACTGAATACATTTAACTGACACAGCTACCAAATTTTAAGATCTCTGAGTTGCTTTACATTTTTAGTAATAAGATTAAAATTCTGGCTTTAGTTTCATGATACAATTAACTTGCTACATTAACATATTTTCAGATAGAGTATAATGCAGTATCTCTGTGATAAAGGGAGAGAGAGTAATCAACTGAAAAACCATAAAGAAATTTAACAATGAGCAAAATCAAGCCTTGACTCAATGTTTCCAAGATTTATTCATTTAAATAAGATGCTTAATATATTTTTAACGTCATTTTATCCGTCCCATATAAGTGAAATGCACCTGCAGTTGGCATTGTAATTTGGAAATTACATTTAATTTACTCATAATTTAGAATGATAAAAACTATGCTTCAAGGATCCTGATACTCTGCTTTTGCTAACAGGTGACAAAAAGTTTAAATAAATTAGGATCCCAAATTTAACCTCAACCTTCATTTTTAACAATTAAGCCTCTCTTCCGCTCCACCTCC